GCTAGATGGTAGACACATGTTAACATGAGTGACAGGGCAGGCAACATACAAGAGGCAGTTTTGCAGAGGAAGGATGAAGGTAGCAGGGGATACAAGGAGGAATGCAGTGGTGAAAGTGAATAAAGATCAATACCGTTGACTTTTGGTGCATGGAGGGGCTTGCAACCATTGTAATGAAGCCAAGTGTATAATTTGTTGGATGTAAAAACTGATGGTCTGTCTCTGCAGACCCGGTCAGGAGATCAAGACCCTGTGGGCCAGAGCGTTGCTGACCGTCCAAACCATAGGCTCTGAGGATCAGACTTTAGCCACCTAGCAGACATAGCAAACTGTCCCTCATCTGATTATTCAGTTATGCTTGTTAGTAATTGCATACATGAGCCCCGGATATCCACAGACAAATGTAAAAACCTTCCCTAAAAGCCGAGACTGTAAATTCCAAAAAGGCAAGTTCCCCCCTACCCCCACCCCCCCAAAAAAGCTAAAGAGGATAGAGAGAATCACTGTAAACTGATGATATATGGAGGGGATAATAATCAATGTAATGAAACAAGCTATATGAATGGTTGAATGTGAAGCTGATGATGTGCCCTGTAAACTTTCACTCAATTCAAAATAAAAACATTTAATAATAATAAAAAACAAGTAAGATAAATAAAGAAAGCCCTTTCAAATACAAAAAAAAAAAAACCAAAACCCAAAACTGATGGTCTGTTCTGTGAACCTTCACTCAAGTCACAACACAAAATACAAAATACGAAAAGATGGTGTGGCCAACAGTTCACCAATCTTTCTCCTTCTCTCACCATCCGTCCTCAGCTCCTCCTCCCAGGAGCACGGAGGCTCCATGGGATAAAACTGGACTGTGAACCACAAACTTGGTCTTTAGAACCTAACCGCCGCAGGTGGGATGTGGTCCTCATCCCACCAAACGCACCTGCACTGGGAGGACTGGTAATGTTGCCTCCCCTCCCTGTTACTACTCTCCCATTTGTCCTCCTTCCCCGCTTCCTGGCTGATTCAGGACAAAGGATGTTGCTGCCCCAGTTCTGGAAGACTGGGCTCTGGCTGAGGTAGGAAGGAAAACAGAGGGTTGTTTTAGTTCTCCTTGGGGGATGCTACCCCAAGCCCCAGTCTCTTCTCCATGGCCACAATTGGTCTACACCCCTGACATGGGGGCCCTCCCTACCTCAGCTTCCTAGCTGAGACTTTCTTCAGTGACTAGTTACCTCCCCCTGACAAGAAGATGAGCCATTGCAAGGAAGAACAAGTAGGCAGTTCCATTTGGGGGACATGAACTTTTAAATAATTTTTGCTGAATTTCTTTATAACCAAATAACACAAATAAATAATACATTGTAAAAGAAAGAAGAAACAAAAAAGCCCAACAGCTGCTCTGCAGGAGAAACACAAGGCTGTCTGCTCCTGCAAAGAAAAGAAAGAGAGAGAAAGAGAGAGAGAGAGAGAGAGAGAGAGAGAGAGACAGAAAAGACCTTGGAAACTCTTTCCAGGGGAGTCCCAGTGTGGCTTTGCAGGTTAGTGTGATGGATTGCAGAGTCACTTTGAACCACAAGGTTTGAGGTTCAAGCTCACCAGCTGCTCCCTGGAAATCCTATAGAGGGTCACTATGGGTCGAAACCGACTTGAGGGCACTTAACAACAACATGAAGCAGAACCAACTTGCCCTAATAACAGCAGGTCATTCTGAGTGTAAGATCAACCCTTGGCATATGGTCTATGAGGTCACCAAGAGTCATATGCCATCCCCATGCTTTCGCTCCCTGCTGGGAGCTTTGCTGGCCCACATGCCTACCAGCAGACATCAAATATGGAAGCATACATAGGCATTCACTGACAAACAGACCTCTCAGCTGGGGTTGGGGGCACCACACTGAGGTCCCGGGAAGAAAGATAGGGGCTAATGGCTGACTTGGAGCTTTCTGGGACAAGGTCAGTCCCTCCCCACCTTCATGTGTAGGTGCTTGGGGGGGGGGCTGTCTTGATAAACACAAGCAGCCACCCAGCCATCAGAACATGCTCAGGTGTGAGATGTGTACCCAGGGGCTTCCCAGAGTGCATCTGAATCCAGACTGCACAGGGTCCCTCTTTTGAGCATTGTTGTTTTTAAGTGCCATCCAATTGGTTCTGACCCATGAGGACCCTGTAGTGGGTCTCCAAGGAGCAGTTGGTGCGTTTGAACCGCTGACCTTGCAGTTCCAACCAACTTTGCAGTCCAGCTCATTAACCCACAGCGCCACACCAGGGCTCCCTTTTGAGGATGGTAGTGGAGGTGGTTATGTGCCGTGGAGTCGGTTCTGACTCATAGTGACCCTGTATAGGGTTTCGGAGGCTGTAAATCTTTATGGGAACAGAAAGCGTCATCTTTCTCCCGTGGAATGGCTGGTAGTTTTAAACTGCTGACCCTGAGGTTCGCAGGCCGACTCACTACCAAACCTCCATCCTTTTTGAGCATAGGCATGTATAAACACCTCCCATGCACTGCCGATCCCTGCTGGTTCCTTACCTGCCCCCACACTCCACAGACACAGACACTTTCTGTACCCCTCCCACATAGCTATTGTCACCTCCCATGCACATAGACAGAGCAACCTCCCTGACAATTCTCACATCTGGTGTGGCACTGTAGGATAAGCACTGGACTGCCAGGTTGATTTGAACTGCAAGGTCAGCGACTCAAAGTCACCAGCAGTTCCTTGGAACCCTATACAGGGTCGCTGTGGGTCGGAACCTACTCGACAGCACTTAACAAATCACAGTTCCAGGCATTCATGTAGCCTGCTTGCTTCCCACACCCACAGACCTATACCCTGAACCCCTCAAGGGTGTAGACAAAGGCACAGTGTGCACCTGAGGGTGGAGGGGCTCTGTGGATTTTGTTCAGCCCCCTCTTCTGCCATGAGGATGCCCATACTCACCAGGTTAGGGGAGCAGCAAACCCAGGAGGCCAATGGATACCTGAGAAGCTGGGATGGGTCAGGTGTAGGGGGGCTACCATGTGAGACCAGACAGGAGACAGTCAGGCTGTGTTCTAGGGAAGAAGGATGGATGAGTCTCCTGGGAAGGCTGTAACAAATTACCTGGTAGTGCTAGGGGTTGGGCATTGGACTGTTAACCACAAGGTCAGGAGTTCCAACCCATTAGCTGCTCTGTGGAAGAAAGACGAGGCTGTCTGCCCCCGTGAAGATCGACAGCCTCAGAAACCCTGTGTAGGTTCGCTGTGAGTTGCACTCAGCTTGATGGTAGTAGGTTAGGTTGGATTGTTGGGGATTTCAAACAGCAGATATTGATTCTTAGTTCTAGAGGCCAGATGTCTGAAATCCAGCGGTTGCCAAGGCCATACCCCCTCTGGAAGCTCTAGGGGAGAAGAGTTCTTTGCCTCTGTCAGCTTCAGGGACTCCTTGGCTTGTGCTCCAGCACTTCACCTTGGCCTCCATGGTCATATGACCTCCCTATTTCCTCTGTGTCTTCTGTCTTCTGTTTCTTATCAGAATCTTTGTGACCTTATCTGGATAAAGGGTCTTTGATTATACTTGCAAGTGACACTTTATTCAAATAAGGTCACATTCCAACATACTCCAGAGGGTGCTAAGGACTGCATTTGGAACTGACAGTCCAGGGAAGGGGGTACAGGTGGACATCACACTGGCAGGTGAACCTGGAGCCACCCCATCTCCCTAGTCCTGGTCCTGTCCTGTTCACGATGGGCTGGAGCTCCTCAGAATCCCACAGATTCCTGGAGGTCCCACATGATCCAGGCCTTGCAGACCCTCTACTTCTAACCTCTTAGAAGACTAAGGACGCCTGGTGAGGCGCTGTAGGATCGATCAGCACCAGGTCAGCTGTTCAAACCTACCAGTTACTTGTCAGAAACCCTATCAGGGTCACTTGGAGTCCTGGTGTGCCCCTGTAGGATAAGCAGGCTACCACAAGTTTGGTTTGAGCAGCAAAGTCGGCTGTTTGAAACTCACCAGCCACTCCTCAGAAACCCTATACAGGGTTGCTGAGTGGCAACCAACTCCACAGCACTTAACAACCACAACAGGAGACTATAGTAAGCTTTGAGCAGGAGCTCTTCCTCATCCATTTGTGACCACACCCCATAACACCTTGGACTGGGCCCCAGGTCAGAGGCACTCAGGAAACCATCCTAAACCAAGAGCTGCAATCAGTGACTGTGGGAAGAATGCAGGCTGTCTGGCCAGTGTGGGGCCAGCCACTGGTACTTGAGGGAGGGGCAAGGGATGATGCAATCAGCTGAGTGGATGGGAGAGTGGGGTCCTCCCAGAGGATTCTGTCTCCTTGAGTCTGGCTGAGCCAAGGAGTGATGGGAGAAAAGGGAAACTCCTGCTAACCCTGGGGTGGGAACAAAGGGTTTAGGGGACTTCTGTCTCAAGAACAATAGGGGAGCAAGCACTTTGCTTCCCAGTTGGGAGTCAAGATGCTTCCAGACTCAGCCTTGTCCATAAAAGGGGGGGCGTGTGTGAAGAGAAGGAAGTCTCAAGGCGAAATCTCCTGCTGCTGGTACCTTGGTCCTAATCCCAAAGAGCCCACTGCCATCAAGCCGAGTCCGACTCAGCGACCATGTTTGTAGACAGGCTTTCAGGGACGGTAAAGTCTACGGGACCAGACAGCATCCTGGTTCTCCTGCTGAGCCAGTTGGTGGGTCTGCCGTGTTGACTGTGTGGTTAGCATCCCAACGCCAAACTCACAGTGCGGTAACTGCGTCAGAAGCTGTACCTCTAGATCCTTGTGTGCTTGTCCTGACCCCGTAAAGGAGCCCTGGACAGGCGTGCGTGGTAACCACGCGGCCACTGGCCACTAGTTCTCCGGAAGACCGTCTCGCAGGCCGCCCTCCCATCCACACACAGACCCCAGCGCCCCCTAAACCAGCCAGGGCACGCTGGACAGGGCGGGCGGTATGTGTCTTCTGAGAGCGCTGTGTCCAGGCACGTCCAGGCCGTTCCCGGGTCAGGCCCGGGCTACGTGCGCCCAGAGCCGTCAGAGAGGGGCGGTCCGCCTGCGGGGATGGGAGGCGGGATCCGCCACGTTGTGCGGGGGTAGCGGGGTGGGGATGGAACTGCACGCGGACCCACCGGGAAGCCGGGAGGACCCCCGCCCGGGACCTAGACCGAGAGAGACCCGGGGAGCTACCTCCGCACCCCGGGAAGAGCCGCCTCGGGCTGTTCCACCGCAACAGGGCCGGGTACATGACCTGGAGAGGGCTGCACCACGGACGCCAGGCTGGGGAGCCCGCGCCCGGCCGCACCCGAGCCTGCGCCCCGCAGCCCCGCCCGGCAGGTGGCGGCCGCCTCCCGGAGGCCGACGTGCAGAAAAGAACGCGCCGGCCTCACCCGGGAAGGGCCGCACCGCGACGGGGCAGGGCAGCTTGCCAGATCCCGCCCCCATTGGCCGCCCACTGGCTGCGGCCTGGCAGGGCGGGCCCGACTCGACCGGCCATTGGCTGTGTGGCTAGAATATTTGCATACGGGCTGGACGCGGGGCGAGCTGAGGGGCCGGGCCCGGGGCCCGGGTCGGGGTGGCCCAGGGCGGGAGGGAGGCCGTGGCCACTGCAGAAGTTGGGCTGATCCGGGCGATGGCCCCGCGTCTGGGTCGCAGGTGACGAGAAGAGGGGTCCTGGGCCGGCGGGCAGGAGTGCAGCCCCGAGTCCGTTCTTCCAGGGGGGCTCCGGGAATAGAACCAGGCATGGGTGGCTTGGATGCAAGTTGGGGACCAGGGAGGATGGGTACGGCCCCACCGCCCGCCTGGCTGACCCGACGGCCAGCTCTCCAGGTGCAGGGCAGCCCCTGCCCACTGCACACTGCGCTGCTCCGGACCCACTGTGCGTGTGACAGCGGCTGATCTGTCCCTGGGCTGCGCGACTGCCCTGGCCCCTCTGTGACCCGGGCATGAGGGCGGGCGGCCACAGGGGGGCCGAGGGGCCGAGCCAAGGCCGGGAGAAGTGAGGGCAGAGGGCCTGTGTCCACTTCAAAACAGGGTGGTTTGGAGGTACACAGGGTGGGGAAGGGGAACATAACTGCTGTCTGAATGCGGAGCTCAGATTGGGCCAGGCACCCCCTTGGAGAGCACTTTTTTTTCCTTGTGTGTTCAGCTTCTGAGATGGCCATCTCTGATGTCACCACACTGAGGGCAGACCTTGGCAGGCCTGGGTGATGTGGTCAGGGCAGCCACCAACAGCACCAGAACTGCTGGGAGCAGTTTCCTGAGGACTTTCTACAGGAAAAGTTTCACTTTGACTTGGTTCTTGCATGTGTTTGCATCCTTCTATGGAAGTCACTGTGAAAGTTCTGCAGAGACCAGGACCCCGATGACCCACTCATGCCCTGCATCCAGCCTGCCTGCTCAAGGGTGGGGTCTCCAGTCCCTCTGCCAAGATCTGTGGCTAGCTAGAGGCAGGATCGGTTCCCCTTTCAGGCCAGTGAGTGAACCAGTGGTGCTGAGGGGGGAGACTCCAACTCACTTTTGAAGGGACTCTGTTCTAGTGGGCCGCTTGCTGTGGGAGCTCACCTGTCACCCCAGGGGGCTTGGCAGGGGCCAGGATCGAGGGTGGCAGTTATGGACAGAGAACCAAGCGCACGGAGTGCTTCTGAGATGTGCTCCCCCCAGCCCTGAAGAGCACTTGTGTACTTGGGGGAGAGAAAGAAAGCTGAGGTCATGGGGCCTCAGAACCCCAGGTTTATGGCTGCCCAGCATCTTGCTCCCCACCCTCCACCTCCAGCCTGAGAAGGGGACTTACCTTGGTTCTGCCCACTATGGACTGTGCATTTGGGGGGGCTGGTGGGTACCCAGCCCCTTGGTACATCTCACACCATTGTTTTCAAAGTATAGTTTAAAACTTAAAAGTAAACTTTTCTGCAGCTCAAAATTTTGCTTTGTGATCTGAAGGTCTTCTGACAGCTCCTCTGGGTGTGGGGTGGTGGTGGGGTTATCCACCTGGTGCACCCCCCAGAATGCAGCATTCGCTGAGTCCTCCTCTGCGGCTGGGAGTCTTCTGGCTCCTTAGTTTTTCCAAGACCAGCAGGAGGTAGTTGTGCATTGGCTCAGGTGTGAATGTGGCTGCCTCACAGCCTGCCTATACCTGTGGGGAGGTTCACAGGTGATAATGGGAAGCTCAGCTTCTGGGAGGGTGTGGACCGTGCAGATGGGGTAGTGGTGGGGGGCATCCCTGGACCCAGGCTGGGCCAGGAACTGATCCCCAGAGCACATCCAACCTTCCCCAAATTTAAAGGTGGGGGACCATGCTTCCGGGAGGGCTGAAAAATCCGATGAGCTCCTCGCTCTGTAGCAATTGATTGCCCACCTTCCTGGCCTTCGTACCCAAGGTCCAGCCAATCAGGATTCAACACCAGTCTGTGTCCTTATCCTCTTGAGGACCTGTCCCCAAGGGCCTCCCCGCACAGGACCTGTGGGCATGCAGAGGGGAGCTTTGGGCTACTGGGGGAGAAACCCCACGATCATCTCTCCTGGGTCTGACCTGTCTGATCTTGGTGTTCCTGTTTCCCACTTTAGGCAGGGCTTTGACTGCCCAGAGCTCCCATGTTACTCTCAAGCCCCCCAAGTCCCCTGTAGCAGAGGCAGACATCTGCCTCAAAGGACAGAGCCAGGTTCAGTGGCCAACCTAGAAAGTGGAGTCATGTGCACACTTGCCCATCCCTCAAACGCAGCACAAAGACCCCGGTGATCTAGGATGCCTCCCCCCGTGTGAGAGCCCCCAGTTTCTGTTAACACACATCTTCTTCAGTCCAGACTGTGTAGCTGAGAGCATAGAAGCCACCCTCGAGATGTGTCAAGGTGGAGGTTGGAGGGCCTGCGGTCACTGGGAGGTGGACACCGTCTGTGGCCCCACCTGCCCTAATTCCCACACTGTGGGCAGGCACAGGACAGCGGCTCTCATGCCCCTTGAGGCAGGGCCGTCATTGCACACCCCATTCCCTAAGACCACACCCTACAGAGCCTAGGAGCTCGCTGGGGCCTCGCAGACAGGCATCCACCAGGACTGTCAGGGACCGCCCCCTCCCTCGGGCTCCCAGCAAGACTCTGGAAACCTGAAAGGCGGGTCTAGCAGCAATCTTCCTCCAGCAATCACCCTGGAGTGGCCCTCACTTCCTGCTGCCACTGGGGTGCAGGCTAGAGGCAGGGGAACCCAGTGGCAGAGGGATCCAGGCTGAAGGTCGGGGCAAGTCAGAGGCCAGCCCCCAGCATCCATCGGGAAGGAGTCTATAGTCCAGGCTGTGAAGTGCCCCAGGAAGGACAGGACAGAGCTGCCTGAGTGCCGGGTCCCAGGATCCTCAGTCTTGGGGCCTATAGACCACTGGTTCCTGAAGGTGTCCTCCCAAGAGGCCAGGCCATGGCCAGCCACCAATCAGCTTGGGTATTCCCCAGTGACCCTGGTGTGGAGCCTCAAGTTGCAGCGCCCACAGGCCTTGCCCAGTACAGCCTCAGGACACACTCTGGGTACTTTGGGCAGTTTATTGAGGTCTTGGTGTTGGGGGAGAGGAAAAGGCACACACATGCACACAGTGAAGGGACACCACACACTCAAGCACACATCCCACAAGTCATACATGTGTCCCTTGTCCCCAACAAGGCATGGCATGTAGCCCTTGGGGTCTTAAGGGTCCTGAGCTGGCCACGCCCCACTCTTCTCTGGGGTGCTTGGCAGACTTGGCAAGGACAGGGGCAAGCCCCTTGCGCGGCATTCTGTCTCTGTCCCAGGGCGCCAGCCTTCTTGCTTCCTGGGGAAAGGATCCCACTGTGGCTGCCGATTCCCCCCTCATCACCTGGAGGGGCTTGTCACTAGATCCTGGGGCTGCGCAGGCTGGCATAGTTCTTTTACCTCCAGGAGTTTTGCCTCATGGGGGCCACTGTGGGGAGAACACAGCTGTAAGTGGGCTGGATCCCAGGAGGACCCCAGCCCACCCAGATGGTGCAGACATACCCTCGGGGCTCAGGCTGGGCACTAGGATGGGGCTCAGGGGAGCTCCCAGTAGGAGTCCTTGTCTGGCTGGAGGCAGCAAGTCCTGTGGGAGGGGTGGGTCAGCCTGGAGCAGGGTGGGCCTCCACCGTCCCCATGCCCCACAGAGTGGCTCTAACCTGCGTGCTCGGGGGGGCCCTCTCGGGTCGTGGGGTGGGCGGCAGCGCAGCCCCTGCCTGTTGGATGAACTGTTGTAAGTTACACTGACGTAGCTCCCGGTTCAGCTCCTCCAGCTCCTGAGCCTGGGCCTGAGGCAAAGGAGACCATCAGGGACCACGGCCATGGGCCTTGCTCTCCCAGTCAGACCTGTGACTACTCTGTACCCAGGTCCTGGGACGTTTCGGAGGCTCACCTGCAGGGCATGTTCGGCAGCCTGTAAAGCCCTGCTCACTAGGACCAGACTGCCCTGCACCTCCATGCTGTGTCGCTCCTGGGCAGCCAAGTCCTGACGAAGCCGCTCTGTCGCAGAGGACGGGGATCCGGGGGCCTCTTCGGCCAGCTGCAGCTCAGCCTCTAGGGCTCGGGCCTGGGCGTCCAGGGCCTGTAGCCTGGCAGCGTGCTCCGAAGTGGCGGCACTTAGGGCCTGCAGGCGGGCCTGTCCCTCACGCTCGCGAGCCTGCTCCCTCCGAAGCTCTTGCTCCCAAAAGGCTTCTTGGCCCAGCTCTGCGGCATTTCTCTGTACCCTCTGCTCCAGGCCCTGCAGGTCGGTGCAGCAGCCTGGCACGGACATGACCGTGGCCGCAGGATCGGGGACCCCGTGGCTTAGGACCAGTTCGGGGTGACCCACACTGAGTGCTTTACAGGGCTCCCGGCCCAGCACTGGCCGTGGCTTCGGGGGGAGGCTGGCACGAACTGGGCAGCGCTCAGGGGGTGGACAGCTGTCAGAGGAGGGCCGCCCAGCCAGGCTGGGCCCTGTCCGCCTCAGGACAAACTGAACGTCACTGGCAAACTGGCCACAGGTGGCCTGGGCGCCCACTGGACACTCCTGGGGCAACATCTGCCGCTCCTTCTCTCTCAGGCGCTGCACCAGAACAAAGCGACCGGTCTGGCCTGGGAGGGAAGGAAGGGGGTAGAAAGTGGACTTGAGAGAGGGGGGCAGCCATCATTCCCACCAGGCTCAAGGGGGGCAAAAGTGGCAGGTGACTAGCCCAGCCCCCTTGGGGGTCTGTTACCCATCAGGACTTACCTATCGCTTGGGCAAGTGCGATGACCACTTCCTGACAGGTGGTCTGCTCCGAGACCCCACAGACCACACGTTGGATGCCATCCACCCATACCTTCAGCTCCATGGCAGCCAGCCCAAAGAGCATCCCTGTTCTGATGGAAGGGTACAAGGTAAAGGGCTGGCCCGCCACAGCCAGCAAGCCTTCAGTCTTGGGGGAGTGGGGGAGCCCTCCACTAGGACCCCAGCCTCCCGTGCCAAGCCCCAGCAGTAGTCCACACATTCCTGGGGTGGGGGTCAGTCAAGACCAGCTCCCCACAAGAGAGGGGGAAGTAGGCAGTCCCTCCCAAATAAACAGAGACTGCCCCATTTACCAGCCTCCCCTTGCCCCGCCCCCACTCCCAGAACAAGGCAAATCATTAACCACATCCAGGACTTCCTGCTCCCACCTCCCCGCAGTCACCTGGCTCTGAGGTACTGCCCTTTCCGCGGGGGAGGCACGGCTGACAGTGGCTGTCCCCAGGCGCCCACGGACGCCAGCACAGAAAAAAAAATGACTGCCTCCGTTGCCAAGGGCGCGTGCCTACCTGCCTGCCCGCCCTCCCGCCCGGAGCCCCGCGTAGGGAAGAGACTTCCTCAAGTCACTGGCAGTCGAAACCCAGACCTCGATTCTCCCGGGTCCACCGAGCCCCAGGCCCCAGCAACTCCTTTGCCAGCCAGTGCTCAGCTAGATCATCCCGCAAGCAGGCGAGCTCACAGGCGGGGACCCGCAAATCCAGACCACCAGCTTCCTCCCCGGCTCCCGAGGGCTCTCTCGCCCGTACGTCGCCACCCCCCACCCCGGGTGCCCCGCCCCGCCCCGCAAGGTGCAGGTGCGGCCACCCACGGGAGCCGGGCCTCCCCTCCCCCTCTGTCTCTGCGGAAAACTTTCCTCCGTCCCAAGTCACCACCCTGGCGGCCAGAGCACCGCGCTCCACGCTCGGGAGGCTCAGGGTCCCGCACGGCTCACCTGAGCGCTCACCAGCCTCCGGGACCCAGGCATACACCCAGCCCTTCTTCGGGCGCCTGGGGCACCGCCGCAACCTGCCGCCTCCAGCACGGCGGGCGCGCCCGGCCCCGACCCCATTGGCTCGCAGACCGCACACCCCACCCCGCCGCTCCCCCATTCGCTCCCCAACATTTACAGCCCGCCCAGACCCTACATTCATTCGCTGGCTCCACTCCGCCCCGCCCCACCCCATTGGCTC